AACAGATAATAGATAACAGACAATGATAATACTTAATAGACAATAGGTTATAGGTTACAGGTAATAAATACATCATACATAAAAAACTGGAGGCAACTTCGGCCGACGATTAGAAAGATGATTGAGAAAACTTTGGCCAGAGGATCTTAGAGCAGGGATCCCCAAAGGGCTCAATACTAATTCCTAAGACTCGATGGTCCAGTCCAAGAGGCTGATAAATGTCTGGGGATCAAAAGGGAGTCCATAAATGATGGATGGATGATTAGGATCAGTTAACCTTTAGGATCTCTGTAGAGCTCCATGTCCGTTCCTAGTCCTGAGTGATCAATTATCTGTGATTTGTTATGGCTTCTGCAACCATCACATGGTGTGAATCTGCTTGGCTTGGTTTTTAGCAGATGGTTTTAGCCCACTGTGCAAACCCCATAAATGGGCTGAGTGGCAGCTGGGTGAACCCGGTGGCCCTGTCCTCTTACCTGAGCCGCTGTGGCACAATGGTAGATCGAATTTTGGTGAACAGTTCTTAGGTGCTTTAAGAGGCGATCGGGCCCAATGGCCCAGCCGACCTGTCGAGAGGAAAGAGGACAGGTAATTATTTCGAATCTTTTTGTGTTTCCTCTTCCCATCCTCAGCTATTCTATTGCTAAGTCAACAGCTAATTCTGCCGTTTAAAAAAATGTCGAAGAGTGTGTACTATGAATGTGTCTTTGGGTGTGTAGATCTTGACTTACAACCGCTTCTTTAGTGAACAGTTACAACGGCACGGAAAACAGTGATTTAGGATTGTTTTCCACACGACCACTGCAGCCTCCCATGGTCACAGGGATCAAAATTCAGAGGCTTGGCTCATATTTACGACTGTTGCTGAGTAAAAGGGGCAAAACTCACTTAGCAGCTGTCTCGCTTAGTGATGGAGATTTGGGGCCCAATTGTGGTCGTACGTCAAGGACTACCTGCAGATCTATATCTTTCTGTATTTAACGGAGAGCAAGTCGCTAAACATCGAGCCGAAAGACCTTCCTGTGCGCAAAACCCAGCCTAAAGAGGCGAAAGCTCAGGTGTGGCTCCTGCCACGCCAGATCCCTCACCTTCCATCCCGTGGCACTGAAGGATTTGCCAGCGCTGCTAATGCTCACCGTCCGCTCCCACATTCCTGGCAAAGTGGCTGTCAAACACAGAGAAAAGAAATGAACATCCCATCTCCCCTTCACCCAGGAAGACTCCGTGTAAAGAATTGGGAATATAGGTGGCAACGTTAGTGGGGAAAGCGCTGAGTTGGGGCATCGGGTCGATTCAGATGGACCTTACCAATCTTCACGTGCTCATTTCCATCGTAAACCAGCCACTCGTAGACTTCGTCGCTGAGGCAGACCACGTCATGCCTCACGCACAGCTCCGCGATGTGCGCCATTTCTACCCGGCTGAAGACCTGCACAGGGCACGAAGGGACAGGCAGTTGGTCCCCTCTGAGATGTAACTGTTCACAACAACCCTGGCAGGTAGGCTGGCCGTGGCCCAGACGCTGCAATAGGGCTCAGCTTCCAGCTTCTCCATTTGATAAAAAGGAAACGGGTAAAGACTCCAGAATTTCTGAGTACTACAACACTGGAGGCTTTTAAGAAGAAATTGGACATCCATTTGTCTGACATGGTGTAAGCCAGGTCTGCACCTTGGGCAGGGGGTTGGACTAGAAGACCTCCAAGGTCCCTTCGAGCCCTAGGATTCTATGATTTAAATATCCCCCGATTGGGCATATTGCAATGGCAGAAAACATCATTACCTTCCCCAAAGGGTTGTTGGGAGAATTCAAAACTAGGACTTTGGTTCGTTTGGTGAACGCTGCTTCCAATTCGGCCGGATCGAGTTGCCAGTCTCGGCTGGATGCCAGCTTTCCACTTTTGGCAACCTTCTGGAGGAGAGAAAATGGACATTGGTGAATGACCTGGTGCCCTTCAGATTCGTTAATTTAATTTAGATCCTTTCAATGAAATAAAAAAACAGGGGAAGGGAGCATTTTATTGCCCAGGATCTGTCACATAAACCCCAGAGGAATTCTGGGAAAAGCCACACAGCTTGAGGCTACGGCATTTTCCCCGAGAACAAAAACAAAGGATGTCTTGCAACCCTGATCTTGGCCTTGTGGTTTAAACCAGAGAGGAATCACAACTGGATGATCTAACTGTACTGTATTGTGACAGAATTTTGCAAGTCTGAAAGTACAAATCTTCCACTGTCTCTTTTACAGCCTGAGAAACTAGGGAGCCTCTTTCTCCACCCATTATAAAGCTGAGGGCTCAGCAGCCTCTTATCTGTTCCCTTGGCAAACTCCCAAGGTCTTTCCCACAGACCATCAATGCCCTTAAATTTGAAACGTGTCCTCCTTCCCTTCCTTGTTTCGATGACCCATTAGTGGGCACTCACTCACCAGCCGTAGGGGTACGAAGACAGGTTTCCCGCCTGCCATTCTGGTCATGGGTTCATAGCAGTCGAAGTACGGCTCGATGATAATCACCTAGAGAAAGGCAAGAGGGGACTTGGCATTTCATGGAATCAAGGACCGGCATGTTATCACACAAATGCACTCTGACACACAGAGATGGCTTTGAGGCTCCCAAGTTCACCCACTTCCAGACACAGCAACACCCACTTTCAAACACCCTAGCAGCCGGGGAATTCTGGGAGTTGATATTCACACAGCCGGAAGGACCCTTCCATTCCCAGAATCCTCAGCAAGGGAATTCTGGGAGTTGAAGTCCGTGCATTCTGGGAAGGGGGATAGCATGGGAGAAGCAATTGCCAACTTGACCAAATGAAACCCAGTAACAGGAGCTAAGATGCCTCATTCAACAGGCAAGCTGTATCTGCTACCCACCATGATTAAAACCCTGGAACCACCACCACCCCACTTCACCGAAGGAGGATGGGTTCCAGGGGTGGGATTCTAACGGTTTGGACCGGTTCTATAGAGCTGGTTGTTATGATTCTGTGCAGTTCGGAGAAGCAGGAAATCGTGCCCCTGGCTGGCCCCGCCCCTCTCCACGCGTCCCTCCCCTTCCCACTCAGTCAGTCCTTATCCCCCGTTAATCACCTCGTCCCCCTCGTCCACCAGGGCCTGGAAGCAGCAAAAGAGCGCTTCGTACGCCCCCACCGTCACCATCACGTTCTTCAGAGGGTCCAGGTCTCGCTGGAGCAACTTCCCAAAAAAACGAGCCAGGATTTCCACCAATCGCGGATGCCCCTGGGGGAAAAAAAAAACCCAGATCAGACGCTGTGAAAACATCCTTTTCCTGTTGGGATCAAAAGTGTAAAACCAAAGTCTAGTTTCCAGCAAAGAGACATCTTTGGTAACATCTTTGGGACTGCTGGATGCTACAAATGGCCCTAAATATTTGCCGGAGGCTGAGTGCCCAAAATGAAGTCACATGATCGTGATAGGGGTGTGGGGTATGTGTGACCGTTGGAATTTCAAACCTGGATCACAGGTAGCCCTGCGGAGACCTGTTGTAACTTTGCATCTTCATGAAGAGGCTGGCCGTAATTCGAGGACTACCTGTTGGCAGGGATGGGATTCAAATTTCTTAAACCAGTTCTGTGGGCATGACCTAATTTGTGGGTGTGGCTTGGTGGTCACATGACTGGGTGGGCGTGGCTTGTGTGTAAATATGGTAAATATTTATGTAAATATTGAATTATTTATTTTAAAAAAGAGCAACTTTTACCCAAAATCAGGCGCAAGCCGGTAGGCAGATTGAGTTGCTCCCAGAATCACAGATTCACTTAGAGATCTACCATTCTGCAATCTGCTACCTGAGTCTGCACTGAAAAATAGAAGCTTCAGTCCTAAGGAAGGTTCAGTTCTGCATTTAGATTAGCTAGAAAGCAAGAAATCCAACAATTTCCTGCTTTCTAGCTAATTTAAATCTCCCGGCACAGCTGATAGTCAGAACAGCTGATGGTCAGAAAATAAAAGGAAAACTAGCAAGTTACCAAAAAATTAGGTGAATGCAGGCAAGTTGGATGATGCGCATGCCAGGTAAGGAGTGGGTGGGTGGGATGGGAGGGGTAGGGCCGGCCAGTGGTGCGATTTGCCAGTTCTCCGAACTGATGTCAGCTTTGAAATTCAGCTGCCACATTTTTTTTTTAGAGAATTAGAGGAATTGAAATTCTGTGTGTCGTATTAAGAATTTCCAGTGGCACTTAATTGGTTCTTGTGATTTATGAAGTGTAGAAGTGGGAGGAGAGAAGGGAGGAAGGAAGGTGGGTTCTGTGTAACAGTGCACTTTCACTTGGGAAATTGCTTTTGACATGCCAGATCTGTTCCTAATAAATCAATTGGAGAGACGTCTCGGAGTGATTGATATCGTGGATACTTTCTGGATGCTTGACAGTTATTTCCGGAGTGAAAGTTTTTTTCACCGGTTACACAGAACCCACCTTCTCTCCTCCCACTTCTACACTTCATAAATCACGAGAACCAATTAACTGCAACTGGAAATTCTTAATACGACACACAGAATAATAACCTTGAACTTTTCAACTCTTCTAACTCTCTAAAAAAACAACGTGGCAGCTGAATTTCAAAGCTGACAACTGGGCAGAATCACAACAACCGGTTCTATGGAACCGGACCGACCAGGTAGAATCCCACTCCTGCCTGTTAGTGTTTTGCAGTTTAAAGTTGGCGAACAAACCACCATGCCTCAACTTTGTTCCAAGCGATTCACAAGAAACAAAAGTTTTTGGCAGTACGCAATGGGTGCGGGAAAAGGCAGGTGTTTCACGTACAAAGGCCTGTGTGTATTGGTGCAGCATGGTGTTTTCTCCGCTGATCGCTTCCACGTAGGCTTTCTTGACGAAATCCGGCGGGGAGAAATTGGGGAAACCTTGGCCCAAATTCACTGCCTTGTGAGTAGCTGCTAGGCGGGAAAATTCCACCCTAAAGAGATAAAAAATCATTTAAAAAAATGAGATAACTTTGGTCTAATGATGAAAGCGCCAACCAGGCTAGGAAGCCAGAGGTCGTGAGTTCGAGTCCCACCTTGGCCATGGAAGCCAACTGGGGGACTTTGGGCAAATCACCAAGAGACTCTGAGTTCTAGTCTTGCCTTAGTCACGAAAGCCAATTGGGGGACTTTGGGCCATCTTCTCTCTCAGCCCAGCCCACCTCACAGGGTTGTTGTTGCAGAGAAAATAGGAGAAGGAAGGTGTGTTGGATTAGGTTCACCGCCTTGGATTATTTATTTTAAAAAGTAACAAAGGCGGGATAGAAAATAAATAAGTAAAATATTAAACCCATGACCGTATACATTAAAATAAATGCTTTTCGTGGAAAACCTTTTTTTTTTAAACAAATAAAAAACGAGAACGAGAAAACGGGGATGGTTTTACATTTTTTGCAAATGTCTTCCAACTCTGACAAATAATTTGGATTTTGTGGCCACCTCAGAGGGTCCCGGGGAGATTCCCGGGGTTCCTTGGCCCACCCTTTTGAAAAAACCTTGGATTCTAACCCATCGCTTTCCCAAAGAAGCAAATTACAAACTGCCTACCAGATATTCTGGTCCAGGCCTTCCAGCCGCCGAGCCTGAATTGCCTTGGCCATTTCTTCCTGGATTAAAAAGAAAGTCATCAATCATGAATGAAACCATACCCTAGGCTGACCAGTCCCGGCTCTTCAGGAAGTCCTTGACTTACGACCGTTCAAAGTTATGACAGTGCTGAAAAAAGTCCTCATACTTAACGATTGTTGCAGCATCCCTGCAGTCACATAATCAACATTTGGGTCTTTGGAGCATGTATTTTAAGATGTTTGCATCCTCCCAGATCTTGTGTGATCTTCCTCATCAAACAAAGGTCTATGGGGAAAGCCGGGTTCCCTTAACAACAGCGTGACTTGCATAACAACTGCAACGACTTGCTTAACAACCTTAATTTTTTTTAAAAAAATGTCAATCTGGCGTGACTTGCTTAACTGCCACCTTGCTTAGCAGCAGAAATTCTGGCCCCAATTGTGGTCGTAAACAGAGGACTGACTGCCTGTAGTTTGTTTTTCCCTTTCTGGCAACTGGAGCTGATCCCTGGAAGCTGAACCAGTGCTGGTAACCCTGAGAAAGGAGACCACTCAGAGGTGCAAGGGAGAGGCCCGCCTGAAAAGTCGGGAAAAAACCTGGAAGGAAATCAGAGCCAAGAAAAATTCCAGAGAGATTCAGCAGAACTTCTGAAGTGTGCAAGCGTTAATTCCTTGTGTTGCACAAGTCCTGTTTTTCCATGCTTCAGTTACCAGGAAATATCTCAGGGTTTTGGGTTGTTTTTTCTTCAGATTGAGGAATGAAAAGAGCCAGCAACCCAGAAGAACACAAACCTGTGTCACACAGAAGACACCCCCAGGCATCCAGAACAACCAGAAGCAGCTCACAAACACTCTATCTTACACACACAGGGGAGAACTTCACAACCTCCTTTGAAAGGGGAGAAAACTTCGGAGAAATTGCATGGCTCTTTCAACATGGCCCCAGTGGAAAGGCAAGCCTGCTCGGTTTCAGCTGCTGATTCTTAATCTTCTTACAACACTTGGGACTTTAGACAAACAATTAAGCAAAAACTGCAACAGACACAGGGTTGTTTTTTCTCTCTCTCATGCACAATGCCCTCCTCTCTTAACTCTTCCATTTTGCAAATAAATAATAATGTTGTATTAAATGCTGCCCGATTCCAAACAACTGAGCAGAAAGCAGCTTTTTATTTCCTGCTTTCCTCCTCAATTTCTACAGAAAAACTATGAAGAGAAAGCTAGTGCCTCAGACAGGAAGGCTGCATTTCCCCCCCTGATGTGCTAGTTCTCTGTGTGCAGGAAATTACAATGCACCTGTCTGAGTTAAGGTGGCAGGGAGGGAAACATTTTTCCCGGCTGTACCAGCTCTCTGCTTGCATCTGAACCTCATGTTCTAGGCCAGCAGTCTCCAAACGTGGCAACTTTGAGATGTATGAACTTCAACTCCCAGAATTCCCCAGCCGGCTAGGGAATTCTGGGAGTCGAAGCTCACACATCTCAAAGTTGCCAAGTTTGGAGGCTTGTCCTCGAGGCAAAAAAATCCTAGCTACTAAACCATGGGCCGATCAGTTGTGCTTCCTACCTTGGTACGATAGTAGTCAAAGTAAAAACACGGAGTTGTTCTCCACAGACCATGAATCAAAAGCAGGCCACGACAAGGCCAGCTGGCTGTCCAAAGAGCTCTGCACCTTTTCATGAATAAATAAAAGAAAACAAAATAAATGCTTAATGCTCTGCATAGTGAGATCTCCTCCTCTTGAAATGGATTTGGGCCGTTAACAGGAACAAAAAACAAACAAACCCTCATTTGCTTCAACGGTTGAGTTGGGATTCCTCTTTTTGGCCACGATATCCTCCCACAAGACACCTGTGGTTCAACCTTTCTAAGGCCAGGTTGGCACACTAACCAACCATAATTTGCACACCAACCAACCATTGTTAGTTTAACCCTGGTTTCGTAAAGCAAGAAGAAATTACTCTGGAGTTGGGACAAAAATGTGGATGCTCTTGAACTTTGGTGTTGGAGAAAGTCTTCTGTGCATACCAAGGGATCTCAAATGCTCTTTTTTCTTCTTCAAAAGGCAACTGGGCTGTTTTTTTTCTTTGAAGAAGGAGGAGGAGGAGGGGAAGAAGGAGAAGGAGAAGGAGAAGGAGAAGGAGAAGGAGAAGGAGAAGGAGAAGGAGAAGAAGAAGAAGAAGAAGAAGAAGAAGAAGAAGAAGAAGAAGAAGAAGAAGAAGAAGAAGAAGAAGAAGAAGAAGAAGAAGAAGAAGAAGAAGAAGAAGAAGAAAAAGAATAATAATAATTCTCTTCTCACCCAAGAAGCTTCATCAATTGTGATGAAGATGGAAGGACAGGATGTGTGGGGGCAGGATGGAAAGTTAGAGAGGATAATTGGTTTAAAAAGGGGGCCAAAGAGCCCATTTATGTCAACGGAGGGGGAATATACCACCTCTCTCGCCTGTCTACAATACGGTCCTTTCAGCAGTTCCAAGAAGGCTAGAGGTACTAATTAAACCAGGATTTCTCATTCTCAGCCACTTTAAGGCGTGTAGACTTCAACTCCCAGAATCCCCCAGTCTCAGAAGTGTGGAACCCCCCCCCCCCCCCCACCCCCCCGGCCGGCCTGGGGATTTGAAGTCCACACATCTTTATGGCTGATAAGGTTGAGAAACTCTGGTTGGGTCTGTAGCAACTGATTAACATGCTGATTAACCATTACACTTTCTGAGTAGTCTTAAGGTTCTTGATTCATTTCCCTTATCGCTAACCAGCCTGAGATCAGTTACAGATTATCCAGCCTACAAAACAATACCCAAAAAAGGAAAAATAAAGGAAGCTTAGAGTGAAAAACGAGAAAGAATAATAAACAGCTTAAGAGGAAACAATACAATCAGCTGGATCTGAGCTCCAAAAAATCCAGGCAATCTAAAAGCCAGAATTGACAACCCACCAAATTCTTACCTGCCATATCTAGATTATTGCAACTGGCTCTGGAAAGCTTCAACAAAGTCACCAAATTTGCACAACACACTTCCCAGGTAAATTAAACTTAATTATTCCTTCCCGGAGAAGGCTGAAACAGGGTGTGTGTGTGTGAGAGAGAGAGAGGGAAAACCATTGACTTCTGACTCTTTCCATTGTGTTACAAATGCTCTTTTCTGTTAATAGTATATTTGTCGTTTCACAGCCCAACCTTTGAAAAAGGATTATTAATTCAGCCACCATGTGACTACAGAGGTGGAAACCTTGCCCGAAAGCCACAGCTGGCAAGAAGAAATTTAAGCCACACACAAAAAAAGGTCAAAAGACACTTACAATTTTGCTTTCTCACAACACGACATCTACCATCCTTCCTGGTCTGAGCCGAAAAGCAGCTTCTTCCAACAGCTGATTCGTTCCCCTTTTCTAGTGGAGGGATAAAAGAACTGCCAGCCAACCAGAAAAGTCACTGGCTGCATTTAAAAAGAGGCGTGTGTTTGAGACGGCCATGCGCTTCCATTTGGCGCATTAAGCCATGTGAGTGAGTTGCAGCTGGTTGGGTGAATTGCAGGAAGGTGTGTGTGTGTGTGTGTGTGTGTGTGTGTGTGTGTGCTTCTTTTGTTTGCCCACAAATCAGGGTTTGGTCCGTTTCCAACTGCTGGCCTTTTAATCCAGGTTCTCCTCCGTTGATGAAAGTGGCAGCTGACTATTTTGCAAAATTGCATGCAAATTCTCACATTGTGTATCATCATATATGACCGTCTGACTGATGATGTTACCTAGTTGGGTAAAGAAATGTCTGACTGATGAATGAATGAAAATGAATGTATGATGAGCACTGGTGGTATTACCCTACTTGGGTCATGAAATGTCTGCAAGATAAACACTAAGTTCAGAGACCACAGTCCTCCTCCTCGTCCTCCCTATAAACCCCACTTCCTTTTAGCACTGATGATGTTACCTAGCTGGGTCATGAAACGTCTGCAAGAAAACCACCAAGCCCAGACAGCATCAAACACCCCAAAATCCACCTCCTCCTTCTCTTCCTCCTCCTCAGACATCTTATTTCAACCCTGAGCTACACATTTTCTCCTTTATCAGTATATCATCATCCTGTATTGCATTATTGCATACTTAAATGTGTCTGCTGGAAATGGGATTGTAAAGAAGTTCCTTTTTTGTTAATTAAAAAAAAAACAACCTTTCTGTTTTTGCTCTGATGAAATGGCAAAAAATGTCTTTCCGTTCTCCTTCATGAATATTTTAGTTTTTTTTTCTCAGTTGGGTCAAAACTTGGCAATGAAAACAATAACCACTTAGTGATTCACGCTGTAAAAAAAATTACTTTTCTTCGGAATCCAATTCAATGAAAGTCTTCATATTAGGTTGCTATTTAGGGGGCCAATGAAACAAACATCTTTGGGACTAATTAAAATTGCGATATTGTGCATGTTGGGGTATCAGCATGCAGCGGTACTTTTCTATTTTTAGAAACCAATTTTGAAAAAAGTGGCTTGATGTCCTGTTTATTGCTTTTTAAAACCAAGCTAAACGGTTGCTTGGATGGAACTGAAGTGAATTTAGTTCTGCAAGCCTAATAATTTATTCTTTATATCATCTAAAGGGTTTAATGACTAATATATTGGAGAATAACCCGTAACATGCAGGAAATATCTATATAAAATAGGAATAACGCAAAGCAAGAGATTGGGTTGACACAGCCAATCACGTAAAATTTGTGTATAATCCTGAGCCACATAAGATGATTTTTAAAAAAAAAACCCACAATGGTTGACAGTTTAAACATTCCAAGGTTTAATTGTAGAAAAAAAATAGAATTGACTAGAGTTGCATTAAAATACTTCAGTCATTTTGTATTATTCTGGTGTGGGGGAGGGAGGGAAACCATAACTGCGTGGCCTATAAAAATATATGAAGTAATTAAAGATCCAAGCCAGTTCTGTAGAAATTAATATTTCATGGATCCCATTTTTTTCTCCAGGTTTAACTTACTTTAACCATTGTTATATACTAATTTGTTTTCTGATTGCATAATCACTGTTATTACTTTGCATTATTATTTTTGTTACATAATGTGGTTGACATGTCACCAACAGGTATTACTTCCTTAATAAAACAGGAAAAAGGACTGTTGAGATTAATATTAATTAATATTAATATTAATTAATATTAATTAATATTAATATTAATTAATATTAATTAATATTAATGTCACTAGATGATTTAGTAATATGTTAAAGGGCTGAGCCAGTTCCCTATAAATTACAGGTAGTACTTCACTTACAACCACAACTGAGGCCAAAATTTCTGTTGTTAAGTGAGACACTTGTTAAGTGAGCTTTGCCCCATTTTACGACCTTCCTTGCCAAAGTTGTTGAGTCACTGCAGTCGATAAATTAGTAACCCGGCCGTTAAAGAGTACGGCCTCCCCATTGACTTTGCTTGTTCAGAAGGTCATAACCCTGTGATATAGCCATGGTCATAAGTATGAACCCGTTGCCAAGCGTCTGAATTTTGATCCCGTGATGAGATAATCAGAGTTGGAAAGGGACCTTATAGGTCATCTAGTCCAACCTCCCCCGCCCAAGCAGGAGACCCTACACCATTTCTGACAAATGGCAGTCTAATCTCTTCTTGAAAGTCTCAAGTGACCATGGGGAACGACGCTGCAACGGTCGTTAAGTGTGAAAAGCGGCCGTAGGTCTTTTCTTCAGAGCTGTTGTAATTTGGAACGGTTTCTAAACGAAGGGTTGCAAAGCAAAGGGAGGTGAGAAAAAAAAATCCATCTGAATTCACTGAAGCCCCAATTTTGCCTGCAGAAGATTTTTGATCTTGGCCCCTTGGTCCCTGTGCATATTTATTTATGCATATTTATTTATTTATTTATTTATTTATTTATTTATTTATTTATTTATTTATTTGTTTGTTTATTTGTTTATTTGTTTGTTTACTTGTTTATTTGTTTGTTTACTTGTTTACTTGTTTATTTGGTGTTGTTTATTTGTTTATTTATTTGTTTACTTGTTTATTTGTTTACTTGTTT